CTCCAAGATGTGATCCAACTTTCGCTCAGAGGTCTTATTCTGAGTATTCACGGCAGCAGTAAGATTCTCCAAGATCTTAACCATGCTGCACTCAGTGAGCCCATTCTGAGAAATCACGCCTCGTCCCATCGTTTCAATCCCAGCGGGCAGCCTTGGGGGGGTTTGAACAGCCGGTTCCACTTTCTTAATTCTCCGATAAGCCAGGGCCAAGCCAGCTCCGATCAGCAAGAACCCTGTTTTCATGGTTCCGAATAGGTAGATATCTTCAGCGTCCTCGATCCACAGTCCTGCCAGGCACACGATCCTCCATGTCTGCCACCCGTCCATTGTGTATCCGGCAGGGAAAGTCCCTCCAGGGCACTCGGGCTCTCCCGAGCCCAGACTTCTCTGGTGTGAAAGCTCTCTGTCTCACGTTTATGTGAACAGGTACGTGTACATGGCAATCTTCGTGTTTGAGGCTCTGGTGAAAGTCGTGGCGAGAGGCTTCTGTGTGGGACGCTTCACCTTCCTCAGAGATCCCTGGAACTGGCTGGACATCATCATCATCAGCACCCTGTAAGGCTCAATAACACACCTCACACTCTCACACAGACTGTATGTACAGCCATGAATCTGCATTCTTTCTAATGACCAGCAGGGGGCAACTTCAGGTTGCACAAACAAAATTCAGTGTAATCTGTTTTAGATTTATTGGAAAACGGCTGACATGAAGTTGGTGAGACTTATTTCTCTGCCGTGATTCTCCGACACGTACAGTTATTGGAAAATAAAGTTTTCACAGGACGATCCTGAGAAAAAAAACAAGTCCAGCCTTATTGCCTTCATGGGAGTTAAGAGGGTAAGCAGCAGCCAGGTGCTCCTAATCGAGCCAGACTGATTAGTCATACAGAAAATGATCACATCAAGCTGTTGCTGCTGAAGGTGTCTCTCCAAGCTCATTGATGAGGTACAAGTAGGACTGCTTATACTGTGAGTTTGTTAATGGAAGAGCTCCTCTTTGTTCACTTCTTTAACCTCCTAGGACCTGGCGTCCACGTGTGGACATCACATTTTGGGTTATTTAGACCGAAATACTCAATTTCGCTCTGCAACGGCCTGATATACACTCACGAGGACATTATACTCCTACTGTTCTATTGAAATTTTAAACAAATATCCTCATATGTGGCTTTCATTTTTCTTAGAAACAAAAATTAGGTAAAAAAAAATAATCTGGTAATTCTTTATTTTTACATTCATCGGGTCCCAATATGCCCAAATCTCAAAGAGAAATTAAAAATGCATGCCGAGGAAGAGTTCGGATCTTAGGGGGTTAATGTTGGTTACAGATTAACGTGATCCAAAAAACAGGAAACAGTATAAAAGAGCCTTCACAATAAGAGCCTCTCAGTCCTGAATAACAAGGCTCACTGCAGCTCAGAAAATACTCAAGAAATGTGATCCACCGATTGAATCCACTCAATGCTGGACGTGACCTTTACAGTTACACCAACACAGTTCTTGTCAGTGTGGTCTCATATCTATATATCCATGTCCGTGCAAATAAGGTGGGCTTTTTCCAGCTGCAAAGATGAAAAT